AGTAGAGAAAAACAATGACATCATGAGGTTTGCAGGCAAATGGATGGATCTAGAAAAAATCATCCTGAGTGAGGTAACCCAGACTCAGAAAGACAAACATGGTATGTACTCACTCATAAGTGGATACTAGATGTAAAGCAAAGGATAGCCAGACTACAACCCACAACTCCATGGAAGCTAGCTAACAAGGAAAACTCTAAGAGGGACACATGGATCACCCTGGGAAGAGGAAATAGATGAGATCTCCATGAGTAAACTGGGGGTGGGGTGGAGCAATAGAGGGTAGGGGGGTGAGGGATGAGAACACAAGGGAACAGGATGGTCGAGCTGGAACAGAGACTGAGTGGGAAAGCAATGAAAGAGATGCCATGACAGAGGGAGACATCATGAGGATAGAGAGAAACCGGGTGCTAGGGAAGTTCTCAGGAATCCACAAGGATGACCCCAGCTTAGACTACTAGCAATAGTGGAGAGGGTGCCTAAGCTGGCTTAACCTGGTAATCAAATTGGTGAATACCCTAAATGTCATCATAGAGCCTTCATTCAGTAACTGATGGAAGCAGATTCAGAGGTCCACAGCCAATCACCAGTCAAGGAGTCCGGTCGAAGAGAGAGAAAAGGGATTCTATGAGCAAGGGGCATCAAGATCCTGATGGGGAAGCCTAAAGAGACAACCAAACAAAGCTAGTGGAAACTCATGAACTTGAGAACAGCTGTGGAGCCTCCACGGGACTAGACTAGGCCCTCTGTACAAGCGAGACAGTTGTGTAGCTTGATCTGCTTAAGGGGCCGCCTGGCAGTTGGATCAGAATCAATCCCTGTTACATGAGCTGGCTTTTGGAGTCCATTACTTATGGTGGGACACCTTGCACAGCCTTGATGCAGGGGGAGGGGCTTGGACCTGCCTCAACTCAATGTACCAGGCTTTGCTGACTTCCCATGGGAAGCCTTACCTTTCCAGAGGAGGGAATAGGGAGTGGGTTGAAGCGGGGAGACTGGGGGCGGGAGAAGGGAAGAGTGGGAGGTCTGTGTTTGGTATGTAAAATAAATTTAAAAATTTCTTAACAAAGTTTTAAAAGGTGGGGGGGAGTCTTTTGCCTCTCCCCTTAGCAGTGCATAAAAGGCCCATTAGAATAAACCTCAAGGTGGCCCTCCAGAAGCTATCCTGTGTTTCCCTCCTTCTATCTTTTCATCTAATACTTCCTCATTCCTCTCTCCTCCCCACAAGAACCCTTTGATAGGTCAGAGCTGGACTCCGACAGACTCTGTCCCAAGGAATAAGGCAGAGAGCAATACAGGAGGACATCCAACACCCTGCTGTGACCTCTGCATACATGTGCTCATGAATGAACCACACCTCTCTCTCTCTCTCTCTCTCTCTCTCTCTCTCTCTCTCTCTCTCTCTCTTTCTCTCTCTCTCTCTCTCACACACACACACACACAATCTTACATCTTTAAGAACATGCAGGAACACAATTGACTTTAGACTATGATTGAGTGAAAGACAAAAATATAAGTTTCATTGTTTTTAGAATGTCTAGGAAAATTTGAAGTACATAAACTTAACTTTTAGTTTGGAAGAACTATTAAACTCCTAAAGAAAGTGCTAAGATCTTCAGGTTTATTTCATTGGGCTTGTGAAGTGATTTAAAAGCAAATTGTATTTTTATTTACACATACAACTTTAAATGTTTAAGGAAAAAAAATATGAGTAAGCTGCAAAGCAGAGAGATCCATGGTGACTTAGTCTGTGTAACTTTAATATATTAACCATTATTTAGGGTAAATATCTAAAAATTATTTGTCTTCATTTTATACATTACTTGTTAGATTTATACATAGGATAAGACATTTAAGATAAAATAAGGGCATATGATAAAAATAAATCTAGCTTTCAACTTTAATCAATCAATTTTAATTAAAAATTAACAACTTAAAAGTAGTAGTAATTTTAGTTCCACCAAAAATGCCTAACCTAGATCTAGCTATAAGAAGATATGATACAAATATAAAATTATAATCATGGTACAAAAATACTGGTCTACAATTTTCAAAAATGTCACTTCTATAGATAAGAGGATAGTTCCAGATTAAAGATGACCAAGGAACATGACAATCCAACAAGCAACCTGACCTGTGTTTTTCTTTCACTAAAACTGGCATTATTGTTTATTTGGGGGAATCTGAATGAAGTTTGTGGGCAGATAACACTATGTTATCAATGTTTATTTCCCAATTTTGCAAATTATAAAGTATGTGTGTAAGAAAAATCTTTTTTTAGGGCATACACAGTGTGTTATTTAGGAACTAAGAGACATTTTATCAGCATTTATCTCCATGGTTCAGAAGAAAACAAATAAAATGACAGAAACATTAAAATACTATCATTTAGAAACTCTGGGTGAGAAGTATATAAAAATTCCTTAGCTTTTCTATATATATAATATTGTCACAAAAATAATAGTTTGCTTTAAAAAAAATCACCCTTAGACAACCATTACCCACCAACAGGGAACCATAAAAACGATGAACAGTTAGAAGCATGCCTCTAAGAGAATACCACAGAGCTGAGTGGAACAAGAAAACCATCACATTCTTAGTAGAAGATGGAAACTTAGCCAGACATGGTGCTCATGCCCACAGTCTCAGCACTCCAGAGGATAAGCCATGAGATCTGTGAGTTAACGGCCACCCTGGGCTACACAGCAAGACCCCAACAACAACAACCAAGATTGAAACAGAAGGAAAAATGTTCTCTACTTTGAACTCTAGGTCAATTACCTCCCTTTAGATGAGGACTCATACCAAATAATGGGGTGCTCGCAGCCAATGTCTACCCCCAAGGCTTCCCCGATTGTCATCCCACCCCAAAGCAACCCAGCCAGCAAAAGCCTTTCTTGAAAGTCTTCCCTTCGGCCTCATACAAAGACTCTAGGTGGAAGGCAGGCCCCACCCCTTCTATCCACACACCAACTCCCAGCCAGGCCAGGACTAAAGGGCTTTGAATCACTCTTTGTAACAAGAAAAAAGGCCTTATTCAGTGGGGAAATTTGCAGGAACAGTAATTCTCTTAGCAATCTCCTTGGTAATATAACCCACTATTCTCAAGCATTCCCCATTAGTGGAGCTCCTGATACACAGTGAGCTGACTTAAAACAGGCCTAGCCCTTCTCCGAGACCAGGATTGGACAGGGCAAGCCAATAACCCAGTAATCCTTCCAGCTTCATCCCTGCTATTTCAGACTCATCTGTTAGGATGACCTGAAGCATCCCGTGACCACAGCCCCACAAACTCTAGCAACATGTGACCACACACAGTGATCTGTGATAGACTATGTAACCTTGAAGTGATTAAACAGTGCTGAATTTGAGTCTTTGCATGTATGTGTTGTGCTACAAAAACATAGAAATAGGTAACAATTATCATTTCATTAATTCATCACACATGATAAGCATAATTTAAAGTTAGAAAAGGTGGGGCTTTGAAAAATGCACAAATGGAAGCAAAAATTCAAACATAAAAATACTTCCTAAGCACTTAGCACAAAGCAATGGTTCAATGAAACAAATA